CCCCCAAAACCCCAAAACCCCAAAACCCCAAAACCCCAAAACCCCGTAAAGTCTATCTTCAAAGTAGATTTGAATTTTAGATTTTAACTTAAATCAAATTTACTAGGGAGCTATGAAGTTACATTTGATATCAAGTTAATATATGTAAGTTTAAGGTTTTATGAGTGAGTTTTCTTTTACAGAATATCTAAGGTGGAGTATTTTCAATACTTTTTATTAACAAATTCTCTGAACTTACAATTAGATGATTTCAAATCATTTTAACTCTCGAATGTATAGGACTACTTTCTACTCCTATCGTTTCCTCCTACAGCAAATGAGCTGTTATTTGTGCAGTAGCTAGTTTTTTAACTATACTCCTTCTTATTGACAGAATTTTTCTATTTATAGTGAAAATTTCTATAAAAGTTGGGCTCATCAATGGTGAAATGGGCTTATGGTTAATAATTGGATTCATATTATTTGGAGTGTTGGGGGTAACTGCCTCCACTTTATTAAGTTCGATCTTAGTTGCTCATTCCAAAGAAAAAGCCTTTGTTCATTGAGTCATTTTGATTTTATTGGTAAGAATAATCTGAATATGAAGTTAATCTGTATGGAGCCTATGCTATTTATAACAAATTATCTAAATCCTCTGTTTAGTTTGCAACCGCTGCAAGACAGCTAAACAGAGCTCTTTGAAGCTCTCTCTGCTTTTATTGAGGATCCTATGGAATTTGAAGCATGATGAGTGCTTTGTCGAATTTCCCATCCTTTTCTGAGCTAAACTCTTCCGCGATTTGAAGTTCAATGATATCTCCAATTTGATATTTATTCTTAATGTATCGGATGGATTCATCATCTTGAATGTAACCAGAGTACCCCAAATTCAAACTGCAATAGATTCCAAACTATTAAAAGTTTCTATATAAAATAAATGGTTATTAGTCTGTTTGAGAAGATTGAAAAATTACTTAACAAATGCTTTTATTTGATCTCCTTTTTTCAAGACGAATCTTTGTGGTATATTTGTGTTTATGTAGGCGTATCTTTCGCACAATTGAGTTTTCTCATAGATTTCATTGCAAAAAATTTCCCATTCTTGCTCTCTTTGCTTTTCCGGGTTCTCAATTGACTTATCTGAGTCGTAGTTTGTAGACATTGACAAGTTTTCGTAGTTCTGATGAGTTGCATCAAAAGACCAAAGTTTTTGTGTCATTCTATGCTTTGATTTAGAGGTATAATTGGCGCTTTATTAATTTCTGCTTGAAGCACTTTTATTTTAATTCTCTTTTATGAAATTTTTCATCATGGCTTGGTACACTCTTGGAAGAAAAACTACATCTTAAGCAGCATATTAGCACATTGATTGAGTCAGTGGTCTCTAAAAAAAATAGATTGAAATATAAAAATGAATCTTACTTTCCACCAGAAGGCAGAGTCAGTTTTCATGAGCGCACAAACTGCATCTTTCTGATCGTTTTTGGCATCGATGTATTCAATCAAAAGTTGATTTAAACTGATGTTCTAGTCTCTAGGTTCATCTGAGTATCGATTCAGCAATCTGTGAGCGATCTGAGTATCAAATACTTTATCGCAGTGGACAGCGTATTGCTGGACAAGAGCACTAGTGTCTTCACAAAAATCATGGAAAACTTTTATGATCTGGGGATCTTCAAGTACTTGCTTTAAGCTCTTGGGTAAGCCATTTAATTTCAAGATGTCAAACAAATAGCATTGCTCGCTGTTTCCAATCTGTTAATTTAATTTAACTCTGTTTAGTTTACCTATATAAGAGAGAGTGGCTGAGTTCTGGATAGCCCTTCGCAGTCGACTCCAAGAATTAAATTTTAAGGATAAATTTCTGTCTCGTTTACGGTTGAATTATTGTCCTTTGCCTTGTCATTTCTAGCATTCAAATTTTTCATTAGATTAGATACAAATTCAGAGAATTAGCCCACGTCCTCCTCCTTTTCAATCAAAATGTATTTCACTTGCTTCGTTTCGGAGTGAGGTTGTGTTTCAGAAATTGAGTTAGTGGAGGATTCTAAGTTTAAAAACTAAACTTACATTAAATTTATAAAATAACATTCGGGCAACTAACAGAATTAAATATTCAATGAGAAGGAATAAAATCTAATTATTTTTTTTCACGCAATTAATTTAATCATATGATTATTTATTTCCACAATTTATGGGGAGTTGCTAAAACTCATTTGGACTCTTGGGGTTTTGGGGTTTTGGGGTTTTGGGG